ACTTCTTTTAGCGACTAAGTGTCTTAGGAGGTACAGGTTCAATCAATATCAAATGAAGAACAAAATAGGGTTATGGCTTGTAATGTGGGTGCCAAAGAAAGGTCTATAGGCTCAAAGGGGCTAGCAACGGAAAATTTTATTTTTATTAAATACCTACGTCATCTCCTAGATTATCACACTTACAATTTCGCTTTAATTAACACACGGGGCAAGTTCTAGACTACACAGGATAGCATAGAAAATCACAATTCCTCACACACACGTTGCACATGACACAATCAAGACGGTTCTATTCAACTCACAAGTCAAGTAAGCACACATAATTAAGAAATTTAAGTAATATTGCACTATGTAGCATACAAGTCAAACAACTGAGAACAGACGTCACAAAATAGACTATTTACTTTACTTAGGCTTCACAATTCAAACCAAATATACGGGAAAACAGAATGTATGTTATAGCCTATTGTGCCAGCATTAACCATGTCAATGAGTATCTCGGAGCGACTCAGTTTCTTCCTAAACTACTCCTAAAAAAAATAAAGTACCCGGTTCGAGCTACACCCTTAGAAAAGAACCGGCGCCCAAAGAAAAACCCAGGGATACTACCTAACTATCATAAAAAAAATTCTTTTTGGTGTTTTTAATCGGACTTTATCCCTCAAGAAAATTGTCCAAAAGATCCATCGTCGGGAAAAGTTCGAACTTTTTCTAAAAAAAATTTCTTTTTTTTTGTTTTTAACAAAACTACTACACTAAGAACGAGTATTACAACTACACTAAGAACGAGTACTACAACTAAGCTAAGATAGCATAAAAAAATCACCCAGACAATCTCCTCATCCCACACTTAAAATTGTGCAATGTCCTCAATGCACACTAAAAATAACAAGAGGGTAAAAGAAACTCCCTGGTAGGCCAAAGGCCAAAGAATTAGCAGCTCACGGGATACTCAGACTTCTCCCTGGTATGATCCCTTGTGCGGGTACCTCACACTTAGTTTCAACCACCTGCTCGCTTTTGCACATGCCTCTTGGCTTTGATTCCATGCTCGTACTCCTACAAAACACAAAAATAATACTACAAAAAAAATAATACAATAAAATAAAATAAAAGAAAAGAAAAAAATTTGGGTTGCCTCCCAACAAGTGCCTTATTTAACGTCGCGGCACGACGCCATCACTTCCACCACTTTTTCTTCCACTTTGAGGATATGAATTGCGCTCCCAGTTTTGCATCAATTTTTGTGTCACGTTCTTTGGGCGGTGGTATGAAAATAAATGAACCAAGCAATAGGTATCGCATCTTGCACTTCTTGGCCTTTAAGTGAGGAATGTCGTTTTGTCTCCTTGACATCACAAATTTCAAAATATAAACACTTTGTTCCTCATCTATTGAATTCTCCATATGCTCGAATGGATCAATTTCCATGTCACCAACCAAACACAATGTTGAAAAGTGTTTAGAATGAGGTCCAATACGCTCCAACTCCAAAATTGCATTATCTTTGACATCCTCAATTTTGCACTCTTCTTCAACCTTGGCATCATTAATAATATTTTGGCGAAAATAGTTGGAATTCCTCTTTCCGCTCCATAAGTTGACCAGTATCCACAACAATTGGTTGTAGGGCATCAGACGCCTCAACTTTTTTATTCAATTGATCGTGCAGGTCATGGATATCTATTAGTTGTTTTGTCATATTTGAAAGACCATCACGTAGAAACTCATGAGATTTTATTAGTTGAGCTTGTTCCTCTAGCCAAGATTGGCTCACTATATCTGCTTCTTCTAAATTTTCTTCTGGTGGGAACTCTCTCTCTTCAGCCACTTCCTCCGCCTCGACCATCATTCTCATGATTGCTTCACTAATTCTTTGTATAGCCTTTCGATTTTCATCTTGTTGCTTGGCTACTTGCCTCATCATGTCCATAATACGAGCCTTGCTTTCCATATCCTCCACTTCATTGCTCCTATCAAACTCATAAACGTTATTAGAAACATTATAATAAGAACTCTGGGAAGGATGATAAGAATTAGGACAACCATCCCAATGGCCACCTTGACAACCACACACGTTACCAAAATTCCACACATCAGATTGAGATGCACAATTTTGCCCTAAGTGTGGTCCTCCACAATATGGACAAGGATCGCCATAATAAGAGTAACTAATATTCGACCAATTATCTTTCCACGATGCCATGTCAACAAAGATAATAAAATATTAAACTAAGATAAAAATAAAAAATAAAAACTTGAATAGGCAAAAAGTAAAAATCCAATCTAGTAAAATAGTTAATTTCTAAGTCCCCGGCAACGGCTCCAAAAACTTGTTGCTCCCAAACGCACACGCAAGTATACGTGGTCGACAAGTATATAGGATTGTAAGTCCAGATATCGTACCCACAGGGACTTGTGATTAACTATCAACTAAACTAAACCAAACAATTAATCTATTCAAGTGAATCCAAAGTATGAATATTTAACTAAAGATAATCTAGAGTAGTAAACTGAGAAACAAAGGAAACAAGTTGGTGAATTATAGAGACGAATTCAATGTGAGTGAATATTCTAGAGCTATGGGTTAGCTAACAATCCTGTTGAGTTTTCTACCTAAATTGTCTAATTAATTTATCTAGTTTATTGGTTGATGGGGTTAATATTGCTCGTAACCTTCTCCCGAAGTACAACTCGCCTATTCAAGCTAACCTAACGCCTATATTCCTATGGAATTAGGATTAACAAGAACGCAATTATAATTCCCGTATAATAACCAAGCAAGGCGATTAGGTATATTCCTATCCTAACCGCAAATTCGCTCCCCCTAAGAGTTAAGATCTTGCTCTACTCAATCTTATATGCAATCTAGAATTCCCTCTCTCGAGTTCAATCCTAGATTCGTAGATAGTATTCAATTGGTGATCAAGCAATCAAATAATTAAGTGCAAGATTGAATGAATAAACCAATATGATAAAATAATAAGAACATTTCAAGCTTCAAACTACAACGTTCATGTAGCAGCCAAAACTCTAGAACTAATAAACTATAAAATTAAAGAAAGAGAAGAGAAGAAAAACTAGTTAGAAGCCTCCTCCAAGCATGGTGTGTGTTGGCCCACGTGAATTCTCCTCCAAAGTATGTTAGAAATCACCAAAAGTGGCGTCCTCCCCCATCCAAAATTACTCTAAAAACGTTTTCTCATGTATATATACCAAGTAGGGTTGGGCCCAAACAATTATACCTTCTCCAATGTGAAAAAGGACACTTTTCCCGGGTGACTAGCGCAAGCTCGCGCATGACTTTGCGCGTAACTTCGTGCATCATTCTGCCTCAGCTCCCTAACACGCGCGAACTACCGCGCGACTTCGCGCGTTTCTTCGCGCATCTGGGCTTGATTTTTTTTCATTTTCTTGTCTCGTCCTTGCACGCACTTAACTCCGAGGGGTCGTTTTTGCTCTTAAATCATTCCAATAGCCTCTTGAAAGCACCATATAAGCTCCTCATCCTGCAATGTATACAAATCACAATTAGAGCCTATTTTTCATCAATTAACCGTATTATGTCATTGGAATATAATTAAGTGGAAGCATAAACAATAGCTAAATCACCTAGATTTCGCCTATTATCACCGCTACTTCTGAAACAGCAAGGTAAATGAGTAGTCTTTCCCCAGCCTTTGGTTTTGCGAGAAAAGGTGGATTTGACAAGTATGCTTTCAAATCTCTGAGTGCCTGTTGACATTCTTCATTCCATTCGAAATGATCTTGCTTTTTAAGGGATGAGAAGAATCTAAAGCATTTCTCTGATGACTTAGAAATAAATCTTCCCAAAGCTGCAATCCTCCCTGTCAGTCTTTGAACTTCTTTCTTACTTGAAAGTACGTCAGGGATTTCCTCAATGGCCTTAATCTGTGCAGGATTTACCTCAATACCACGGTTAGAAACAAGAAAACCCAAAAACTTACCTGATGCTACACCAAATGCACATTTTTCGGGGTTTAATTTCATATTAAATTTTCGCAAAATCTTAAACGTTTCAGACAGATGCGATATATGATCTACTGTATGTTGTGTTTTGACGAGCATATCATCTATATAAACTTCCATAGTCTTTCCCAAATGTTCTTGAAACATTTTGGTAACTAACCTTTGATACGTTGCTCCTGCATTCTTTAGACCAAAAGGCATTACCTTATAGCAATAAGTCCCCATGTCTGTTATGAATGATGTTTTTTCTTCATCGTCTGGATCCATTTTAATCTGATTATAACCTGAGTATGCATCTAAAGAACTTAACAATTCGTGCCCTGCAGTAGCATCAATTAGTTGATCTATATGAGGTAATGGAAAAGAATCTTTAGGACAAGCTTTGTTAAGGTCTGTATAATCTACACAAACTCGCCATTTACCATTCTTTTTAGGTACCACGACAGTGTTAGCTAGCCATTTAGGATACTTTACCTCACGAATAGACCCATTCTTTAACAATTTGTTCACCTCATCCTGAATTACCTGATTTTTAAAAGCGCCTTGCTTTCTTTTCTTCTGTTTACAGGTGGGTGAGATGAATCTTCATTTAATTTGTGAGTCATTACCTCCGGTGGTATACCTGTCATATCAGAATGGGACCAAGCAAAAAAATCTACGTTAGCTTTTAAAAATTCAATCAACTTACGTTTCATCTCTGGGCTAAGATTGGCGCCTATGTACACTTTTCTTTCTGGCCAGTTTACAAATAAAACCAGTGCTTCCAGCTCCTCTATTGTAGTTTTGATGTTTTCATTTTCTTCTGGCTCTTGAATGAAATCAGGTCTTGAATCCATGTCTATTTTCCCTGAATTAGCCGAGGTTGATATTGTGTTATCCTTAACTGGATTCTGTAATTGCTATTTCTTTTCACCTTTCTCATTTGAATTCACCACGGAGTTCATGCTCCTGGATGTTTGTTAGTCTCCCTTAATTTGACATATTCCCCATGGTGCTGGAAATTTAATAACTTGATGCAAAGTTGATGGAACAACATCCATGTCGTGGATCCATGGCCTACCCATAATTATATTGTAAGCCATTTCCATTTCTACTACTTGAAATTTTGTATCCTTGACAACACCTTCCGCAAATGTAGTGAGCATCACTTCCCCTTTTGTTACCACACTAGAATTGTCGAAACCTGACAAAGTATGCGCTTTTGGCACCAATTTCCCTTCTGCTTGCATCTCACGTAGCACTCGTAACAAAATAATGTTCACTGAACTACCTGGATCAATTAAAACCCGTTTAACATTAGTATCATATATGAGTAAAGATATTACCAGTGCGTCGTTATGTGGAGTCAATAAACCCTCAGCATCTGCATCATCAAACGTAATATTTTCTTCTTCTAACACATGCCGCAGCCGCTTCCCGTGGGTAATTGTAACTTTTGAAATTTTGTTAGCTGCGGCATATGATACAACATTGATGTCTTCGCCCCCGCTTATAACGTTAACTGTTCTTTTGGGAGAAGGTGGTTTTGGTGGCTCCTGCCTGTTTTTCATATACGCATGTTTACCTTTCTCACTGAATAACTCAGTAAGATACCCTTGTTTTAGCAAATGATCAACTTCTCCCTGCAAAAAACTGCAATCTGATGTTTTGTGTCCATGATCGTTATGGAATTCACACCAATGATCGGGGTTTCGCCTGT